GAAAATAGTTACATTTACAAAACAAGAGATACATTAATAATTACGTTTTCTTATTTGGTTTCAACTTAATCATTTTTCTTACCGTAATTTTATAGCAACTTTAGTCAGTACATTATACTTTATTTTGTTCTAATACGTTACATATTAAAACAAAATGAAGAATAAATATTATAATTGTAATTGGATTTACGGAATACCAACCTAAAACATTATGGTTATTTCTTTAAAACTATAAAACATAAGGTTTTCATTTTAAGCTACGATCATGTTGGGATATAATGGAACTACTACTAAACCAATAATGCGGCCCATGGCATGAAATATGTATAAATTTAAAAACTCGGACAAAGGTCAATCGAGTAACAACATACCAAATGTTCGAAATTAACAGAATGATTAGCCGAGCACGTAGGTCAGTTCCGGTAGTCAAAACAAAAGCCATTGTTAGCGCGCACAGCAGATCGTAACTAGTGCTGCTCTCGTATTCGGGACGTGCACGAAGAACATTTAGCAGACTCCGGGGACGGCGGCGGACTGATAATTAGCACGGGAGAGGCGAAAAATTTGCGACGGCTTAAAATTTACGAGGCGCAAATTACTCGATTCCGGCGCTATCGTTGCAGCGCACCCGTTAATGTACACGCCTTATCGAGCATGCTGCGACGAGAGCAGGGGGCCCGCCATTCAACTGATCGTATCACAATCGACAAAACATAAAAATACAACTCAAAGCGTCGGTAATGCGCAAAGCATAGGTCGCATCGTATATACCTGACAAAAAAACGCTTATCAGATGTGTAAAAAAATAATAACTTCAAGGCAAAACATAATGAGTATAAAAATTTAAACAGTACGCAATAACCAAAAAATACATCGTGAGACCATAGAATTTTTAAGCCGCAATTATCTTATCAATGATTAATTTGGTCACGTAATCTAGTGCGGCTACGGCTATGTCACATCCGTTAGTACACGCTGATAAGATATATTATTACTAGGAAACATTTAACGATATTTTATTTTTGCTGCGAATTTGTTTCACTATCCAAAAGGCAGTTGAAGTGAAATAGAATTGGGCTAGCACTTGGCATGTGAGATTCTACACCACATTTAAAATTTAAAACACGATATTGTCTTAGTTTTGTCAGCATTATTTTTGATTTACATTGAATGCAAAACGAACACAACAGTTCAATAACAATACCATGGGCTCCTATTGATAAGTTTTATTCGGGTGCAGGTAGCGGGGACCAGCTGTTGCTTTCGTAGATGTAACGTTGCAAACGACCTTAACTGAACCAATAGACTCAACGTTTTAAAAATTAACACGCGAGCAAACTAACTTTTGCAGAGCATTTTGTAATTTTTGAGCATTCACTCTGCACACAAAGCTATCAAATTTAGTGTTGTATTCGTATTAGACTTACATTATAGCGCTTAAAGCATTTTGTTTTTTTTTTGAATAAAATAATATCTACTATATATACAGTATAATATAATTTTATGTGGTGCATCAGCTTACTTACACATTATTATTTGACAAATATAAAGTCGGGGAAAAAATTTCTTCCTATCTTATATACAAATTCAAGCACAAATTCATTATTTTCAAAGTTTAATTACATTTAATTAGTTATAATATATATGCGCCACTTTGGTAACTTATCATCTTGTATGTAGTGACATTAATCAAATATACTCGTAGAAATCTTGGGATTTTTGATCAAAAAAATGTTAACCTAACATTACCCATAGAATTCTAAAGAGACCGAAACAGATGAAAATCTGAGGGTGCAAGGTCAGGACTACATGGTGGATGCATTAGCACTTCCCAACAAAGTTCTCTTAATTTTTGCTGAGTGGCCAACAATGTGGTCTGACGCTATCATGATGAAAGACCACTTCTTTTCTGTTGATCAATTCCGGCCGTTTTTCCTCAATTTCTTGCTCGTCTCATTAGTTGTTGGCAGTAGAGATCCGAATCGATGGTTTTGCCCGGCGATAAAAGCTCATAATATATGATGCCCTTTCAATCTCACCATACACACAGCATCACCTTATTGCGTGTTTAATCGGAGTTTCGGTACAGTCTGTGGAGCTTTTCCACCCTTTGACCATGATCTTTTATGCACATTCTTGTCGTAGGCGATCCACTTTTCATCTTATCACAAACGGTTCGGTTTCATTACGTTTCAATATAGAATAGCAAATGAATACACGATTCATTACGTTTCTTTCAGAGTGAGCTCATGTGGTACCCAAATATCAAGCTTTGTTGTATAGCCAGACTTTTTCAAATGGGCCAAAACTGTTTTGAGGTCAATCCTCAATTCCTCGGCTATGTCGTAGCTACTAACATGCCGATATTGTTCCACTTTTAAAAAATGGCATCGACTTTATCCGTATTAGGGCGACCAGAGAGAGTTGCATCTTTGACATCAAAATTTCCGGATTGAAAATGCTTGAACCAACTTTGTACTACTTTTTTGATATAATATTATGTCCATAAACGTTAAAAAACTTTTTCCCGGCTTGAGTCGCATTTTTCCCTTTTTTGTAGTAAAACTTCAGAATGTATCGAATTTCATCGTTATGTTCACTCGTTTTGGCGAACAGAAAAACAATTGAAAAATGGCGAGAAAATGTTTTTTACTTTTCTTTTTTTAATGTCCTATGTGTATTAATTTTATCGATATTATGTTCATTTTGTCTAAGACCTATTTTAAAAAATACCTCCTTAATAACGTTTCCGAATTATAATTTTAAATTCATATTATATGTCATTTTTTACAAATTTTTATTTGTAATTATGAAATTTTATGTGAGATTTTGTGATTGTAAGAAGTCACTCGCTATTGTTGAGCACAGAACAAATAAGACAGAAAGAAGCTAAGAGTTCATTATTGTGATTGTGTTTGATTATGTTAAGATACATAGGTATGTTTAGGTTGAATATTTTACTGTTCAAAAATTCAAAAATAGCTTTTAAAATTAATTTAGTGAAATTAATAAAACCCTTGTTGAAACGTTTTTTCTTTCTTTAGTATATTATGTAGTATGTATGTACTAATTCCTTTGTAAAAATGTGAAATACCGGTGAAATGTCGGAATTGCCTCAATCGATTGGTAAGATTTTTCTTTTATATAATAGGTTAGAATTCGGTCGCTTAATTTAAAAAAATACTAACGGTGTGGACAATAGGTGAGAAGTTTTATATGTTTTAAGACGATATACTAGTTATTGCTTTGAACTTGTGATTTTCCCAAGTCCAAAAGAGTTAATAAATAAAACCAAAAAAGGTAAAAACCGACTTATAAAAGAAACTTATAATGTTATGTAGATATTTTATGCTTTGCCGCGGTGATATGTTTTCAAATAAAATTGTAGAAGGTTCTAAATAAAATCAATTGCTAAATATTAAGCTTTAAAAAATATATAAATTGACTTCAAAAACCAAAATGACAAATAATTTTCACATATTCGCTTACTAATTCGGGGATTTTATTGTTCGATACACTTTGTTTTAGCACCAACTTCACAAGCTATAGGTACAAGGTGGAAATATTTTAGTTTTTGAAATCGTTACTCAATAACTTTTTTTAAGTATAATATTTAGAATTTAATTTTATTTGAAATCTTGCATTAGTAAGTTAAAACAAAACACTATTACGACCAAACTTAAAAAAAGTTTCTTTTTCATGTAAGATAAATAAAATTAAAAATCTTAGTATCTTTTACATAGTAACATGACTAATGGCCGGAATCCCTTAGTATGATACTGTGTTAGGAGAATATATAAATAATAAAATAATTTAAGAAATGTGTTTTGTGATACTGGGCGACTCCTATGTTCAGTAGTGGACGTGTGATGGGCTGCAACGATAAGATGATGATAGACTTCTATCAGATATCCCCAATTTACACAAATTATGTTTAAAGTTTAAACATTATCGCTAGATGAGACACAATTTTGAGGTGATACTTGTCCTGTAGTGTAAAGATGTTTTGAAAAGTTAATCGATTTTTACTTGATTTTTTATTCGGAAATTCATAAACACTGCTAAAAATGAGTAAAAATAGAGAATATAATTAAACTTTCAATAAAATGTAGACTTTAATTAATAACAAAAAGTACGTCTTCAAGAAGTAACAACTATGTCGTCAAAATAGTTACATTAAAATCGTCTTTCCATATTTTTCCTACCTTAGGGTGAAGTTTGTCTTTAGATTTATATGGGACCCCTGAAGTACAACTTCTTTATGAGAAAAATTATAATTTCAATCGATCCATAATTTAAACATAAACAAAAAATACGTATCAAATATAGAATTTTAGTCATTTTTAGAACTTGGTTAAAATATAAATATAGTTGGTATACTTAATTTTTCTAATGTGCATCGAATGAAATTTTTTACTTACATTTTTATATTTTTATTTTATATTTAGCACTTACGTTCGTTATATATTTAATAAACAATCCCATAAAACACTTTGCTCATTTATAGTGTTAAATAAAGGAAGAAAGTTCTGTCAGGAAATAAGAGATTAAGTAATTCTACTGAAGAACTTTTACATTACAAGCAATATTCAAAGCTTAAGGATTGGGACCCCATGCGAGAAGCGCGCTGCACCCGGTGCTTCAACCGAGGCGAAAGCTCTCATGCGGGACCCACGACGGAACGACCGTCGGCCAGACCAGCACCACTGGGTTACGCCGTCACTCCGGAATTTCTATAAACTTTCTTCGTCGAATTTCGGAATTCGCCAACAAAACGTCTCCGTTCACTAGTGATGAGCACCAGACAGATTATTAATACAGCACGGGCCTATGCACGTTAGCGAAAAAATGCACTAGTTTTATTTCACAAAACTTTCACGGCGCACACTTTGAACGCGAGTTCCGAATTCGACAATATCGGGACGCATCTACTAGAATGAGCGTGACACTTACATGAAAAGCCGGGTAAGGGAGCGTAAGTAAACGTTCGAAAGTTCAAATCACAGCAAGTCACTCGAAAGTCGGGTGAAACGTTTCGCCGGTAGCACAGAGGTCGCGGTTCGCGGCCACAGCGGGGCGGCACGCGTCGTGTTCGGGGCACGAGTGCGGTGCACAGAGCGGCGCGAGTCACACAAGCACAAGCAGAGTCGGCGGGCGACTGACAAGAGGCGAGCGGCGTGGCGCGGGGAGCTGGTGCGCGCGCACTCCCCTCCCCGCGCACCGCCCCTCGCCCCCCGCAATCCGCAGGCCTTATCACGCCGCGGCGCGCCGCTTCCTTTCTCCTCGTGCAGTTGCGAGCTTTTCGCCACTGCCACACTTCCGCCCGCCCCGTCGATTTTGTGTTTTAGCCCGTCAATGTATTGCATCGTTCGCTTATTCAGAGTGTATAATAATGGTAATTATACCCTAATTTTAAAAGATTCAACACTGCCTTAAAATTTCTTTAAAAAAGTAGTATTCGGTACGGAAATATTCGAGCTGCGTAAAGGAAATCTGACCTACTCGATGCGATTGAAACTCAAAGGGATTTAATATAACCGGATGTTTACTTATTTGTAGAAGGGTACCGACCGATAAATATTTTTTGGTCAGCTAGCAAAAATATTTCATAAAACGTGGTCATCCTTTGTTCTTGGTATCGAAAGGAACTTAGGATTTTGCGAGCAGATGCGGAATAGCAAGTGGCGCTACCACCAGCGAGTTATAGGTGGGAGGGTGGGGTGTGGGCGGCGCGGGCGCAGGCGAGGCGCGGTGAAAGTGCGTCTCGAGCCCGCGAAACAAGTTTGCGTTCGCGTGACCCGTCCGAGGACACGCTACACGGGCTACCCCACCATATACACTATTTTAACGGGAACACTTATGTAGTCTTTTTGAATATGTAACATTTTGTATTTTATTTCTTAGAATTTTTTTATTTATTTATTGGTTTTTACCAGGGTAATACTACATTAATTCAATTTAATTCTAAAACTAAAATTATAAATGATTACTAAAATTAATATATCAAATGTATAAGTATTTATGATAATATTGAAAATATAATAGCTATCCAATAAATCGTACAAGCTTGATTATTTTAAGTTATTCACATATATAAATATATACATAATCTATTATTATAAAGCAACGGTATGCAGTTATAACGCATTCTAAGTTCATTAATATAATGAATAAAACCGCATTTATATTACTTAAACTGAATTTACTTCAGTTGACAGTTTATAAAGGCATAAATAAATATGACAAAAGTACTTAAAATTGTATATATAAATACCAAACCAATAGCTTCTTTTCGTTTGATTGCATTCGATTACATTATTTGTTCCTAATCGATTAAAGTAACGAAACAAAAACAAAAAAAAAACTATAATATAAAACTGCTTGTTACGTAATAAGCTGAAATAAAAAATATAAATTTTCAACAATTTAATAATCTACCAAACAGTTCATAATTTGTCGGCAGTTCAAATCAAATATGCCTCTCGTCTCACATGTACTTAAAATGCTTGGTAAGCGAATTGTTGAATGCAGTATCACCATATTTGTGATGTGTAGAAATTTTAAAGTTGGCGTATTTAGATTGTTAATTTAGCTGGCTTGCCTGTCGCAGCCCATGAGATAATACATATCTTAGTCATATTTTGCGATGCGAAGAAACGGGATGGATTTTTTTACACTTTTGCCTTTACACGATGCCTAATTAAATTTGTTAAAATTATACACATATTGATTTTAGCGTAAAATTTTAAATACCAATGCGGATCGAAAGAAGTTTATCAAGAAATTGAATTATTGCTTTGTTTACATTTTTTTTCTTATATTTAGGGTATCGGGAAATATAACAGCTTTTTAAATTAAAGCTAAGCTACGAACAAAACTCTGGGCTCTGGCGATCGACTCTGGATCTGGCTATTTCAAATTTTAAAAGGCTAATGATAGTGTTGGGGAGAGTTTTTTTTTGTGGTTACCTCTGTGCTTACTAAGCCGCCTGTCCAGTGTGATGAACTTATGAGATAACATTAAAAAGGTTGGGTTTGCATGCCAGATGATGTATTCTTAAGAAAGAGCTTTACACAGCAGTGGATTAAATAAAAGGCTGGTAGAGAAGCATAAGGAAGAACTAATTAGTAAATTTTGGAACCATAATCATATCGCATTATCAAACTATCATACTCAACTCAATTTGAATTAATATTATAACCTGCACGTTAATAAACATTATTATGCATTAATTTAAGCAGTTTAGTTGAAGTACACCAGTTTGAGTTCAGTCTCTTTGGGTTTTGAGACCTTAATTCTGAAGTTGTTGTATCTCTCATCAATATGTGTTATACTTCTTGAAGACTGTCTTATTCCTCAAGATATTATTATAACGTGCTTAAAAGAAAAGGAACAATACACTAAATACTTAAATTTTAATGTAAATTACAGTTTAAAATATATATGAAATTTGTTTAAAGTACTGACTTGGAAAGTAAAATTGATCGCAGTGTCGGCGTGTATTCATGTGGGAATTAAATTGTAACGATAGCACTTGGCCCATGCTCATATCACAATATTTGACTGTGTCAAGGTGTGGTTTGACGTCAGGCTATTCCTAATTATGATAGCAGTCGTATGAAATGTATTTTTGTCATATTATATATATTATTTTAAATCATTAATAAATTTTTTCAGCCTTAGGCGGAAACGACTTACCTAACGTGTCGATTAGATAAGTCGTGGGGTTGTTTTAGGTAGCAGCACAACTGTCTTCATTTAACGTGAGTTTAGTAGTACTGCCACGTGTTAGTTTTAATTAATTTACGAAGAAAATTACATGGTAACGCAATATTTTATACATGGCCGAAAGGAGGTGCTCTTGTCATCATCATCATTATCATAGCCCATCAGAAGTCGTTATAGAATTTAAAGTATCTTAGAGATCTTTATAGATAGTAGTTTATATTATAGGGATTATATTAAGGATAATGTGTCTTAAATTAATAATGTTGTTGGATCATATGCCTGGTAAGTATAACCATATACATAAAGATTAACTGAAGTAAAAGCCTTTCAATTTTTATTGTGTGTCAATCTCTAATAGTATTTGTAAGAAGGCGTCTCCAGATTCAAGGATCAGCGATTTTGAATTGCGAGTCAAGGGCACTTCTAATATATTTTAGATTGTTGTCCGCATAACACATATTGGAGTTGTATCATGTTGTCTTTGAACGAAAAACATGAATCGATCACTGCTCTCAAGTTTCACGTACTAATTGCAATTTATCCGGGGAACATATGTTTTTATTCTACTTTAATTTACATGACATAATTTTTTATAACTTTTTTAATTAAAGGACTTTCGTTATTTTTACATTGTCAGTCATACCTTTATACTGTGGTTCTATATTGTAACTTTTAACTAAATAAATCAATTTTTTTTATTGAATTTCACTTTTTATACGAGGTAGAGCCATGCTACGGAGCTGCATTACAGTTGTAGCACGAATGGGTCGGCTCGATGTGGGTAGGACCACGCTTTCACAGAATATGAGCGTAAAACATGCTGCTGTGTTTCGTATGGTGAGTATAGAGAACCGGAGACTTTTTTTATTCACTTGAACATCACTTGACAACGATTCAAAGTAAATACTTAGATATTCAAATATGTTAGTTTTATTGACCAACAATTTTCTATCCTGATGGTTGTTGAAATATTTCGCGAGCAGTGTTTGTATCTCAGCTGTTGTGTAGCACGTTTGGCAATTTGGAGATTGTTTCTTTTTCATCATGAAAGCAAATTTGTCGCACGGAATGTGTCTGGATCGAAGTTGCATTGTTAAACAACAGATATTCTATTCAATTTCAATTCAATATTCATTAAATCAATTCACTTTTGTAGGCTCTAGATAATTCTGGACAGTTGATATACCATTATATATATAGTATTCCATTTCCCTTTTTTGAGACCTTTAATCAAAATATGATTTCCAAAGCGAATAACATATTTCTTTACATTCAATGAAAATTTCTGAATAATCTGGATACATTTTTTCAATTTGTCAGTGTCCTCATTGCCTTATAAAACTAAAATAACCAGCCTACTGCAAAACTTATTAAAATTATGGGTATTTCCATTAAAATTTAAATACTTCAATTAGTATAGAGTATGATATCGATACACCTCAGAGACCAGAGGCGTTATTTTATCTCTCATTAGGTTTTAATATTAATTTGTGATAAAGCTTTCTGTGTTTTAAGTATTTTCAATAAAAGAATCAAACTAAAATAATGTGTGCAAGCGTTGCTTATTTTTTTAAATGGAATTCAATAAGATAAAATAAAGTTTGTCAGTTAAGTTACATTTTAGAACGTGATAACTTAAAGCTATGTTTTTGTATTTACACGTATTTTTGGAAGGAAGGAAGGAAGGTTTGGAAGCGGTTAGCTAGTTTTAGGTGTAGGCGTTTGGTGCAATGTGGCTACCCCGGGAAGTCACGATGCGACGACGGACGTGGCTGTTTTTGCGGCGGACGCACCGGGCGTGATGTATAAAAGCTCATTTAAACATTTCTTGTACATTTTCCTATCTGAAACTCTATCAATAAAAAACTAGAATAAGCGACCACCACAACTCCAGATTTTAGACGACCGAAATTAGATATAATTTCCATTAAAACAGCGCTTGGACGGAAACTACTTTTTATTTGTATATAAACTACATCTAAAAGCACATTATTAATGTTCGATATCCTATCATCACATTCCACGTATATATATATATATATATATATATATATATATATATATATATATATATATATATATACATTTCTTATACGGGTTGCTATTGAAGGGGCTAAGGTGGCAGGTTATTATTTATGATTATGATGATATACTGCGACTAACAAATTTGTAATTTCGTTTACGCACATCTCAATAAATTACGCCGTTTATTGCAAACGTACTCTTGTAATTGATATTGATAGCTATCTAGAGGGCACAACGAAACATAATACATAAAACATAACCATAAAAACACTTGAAAGAATAGTATCCTTATAATAGTTGTCTCTATTGACATATATTGAAGTGAAAGAGAGAGAGAGAGAACGATAGAGGACAACGACACTTTCTTAAATTGGCGTTGATTATATTTAATTGTTTTTAGTAAATTAATTTGAAGCTTAATTTTTTAAGTATTCCTTTACAACCACAACATGTATGAATTCGGACATCTAGAATAACCCGTGGTCTAAGCGTTGTGAAACAAAACCTATTAGTTCGTACGTCCCTCATTTACCTTTCCTTTTCTGATTAAGAAAATAAAAAGTATTGTTGTATTAAATAGTTAGGGAACTCGAATCTGATATTATGTAGCAGC